TGTGCTACTAATAGAGTAAATACAGTATTATAACCATCGGTGCATCTCTGTCATTTACGTTAATATCTGTGCTACTAATAGAGTAAATACAGTATTATAACCATCGGTGCATCTCTGATATTTACGTTAGACCATAGACACATTTTTGTCATTTACGTAAGCATATACGCTACTTATATTTTAGCAAATACGTATTTTGACTCGACACACTTCTTTCATTTACGTAAATACCTGTGCTAAAAATAGAGCAAATGCGATGTACTTGACCATAGACACATTTTTTGTCATTTACGTAAGCACATGCGCTACTTACAGTATTATGACGTATGAGATACGTGTACATATCGAACACAACATAATGTAAGGAATAGTGCTTTGAACAATCACTGACTGGAGGAATGAAGAAATAAACAAATAAACTAACTGACAAATATAATTTATAACATTATAACAACTGTATGTCAGTTTAGTGAATATTTTAAATAGAAACATATATTCAAAATGTGATTCTTGAGATTGTCTATGACACTTTGACATGTGAAACAGTGATAACAAGTTATTTTCCTTGATAGACAATTTTCCGTTCACTGTCAAATCTCACGTTATACGTGAAATCACGACAAATAAATGTCAGTTTCATAAAGGTGTCACTACATAGCGTAGATTTGACACGAAAGTATTTTGACATAATGTTCACGCTTAATAATGTGCTCTGTGAGTCAATTTTAACGCCGTAAGGATATCTCATCGTAAAATTTGTCAACTTTGAACTATAAAAAAAAAATTTAATTCCAAAATCAAATCGTTTGATTTTTGTGGCAGATGGTCAATGTGCGCTTTTCACGTATTACGCAAGGTCCCGCAATAAAAGGAAAATCACCTATTATAATATTTGTTCGGTTTGTAAATGACGAAAGCATGAACTGTTGTGCTTAATTCTTTGATCACCAAAGTCCACTTTTGTCACTTTCAAAAATCTAATTTACATAATTATTTTACCATCTATACATGTAGCTAATCTGAAATTATATCTGTTAACCTTTTCACCACCAGACTTTCTCACCCGAATTTTTCGACACTTTTTTCTTATATTCTCATTAAATATTTCCAGCAATGAACCCTAATCTTGGAGCTATCATACAAAATTTTAGTAAATTTTCAGTTTTTACTAAAAAAAATTGTCTTTTTATCTTTTATCTTATGAAGGAATGTGCAGACAATAAGCTGGACTATTTTGTGATTTTGTGATAAAAAAAGTGGTGGTGAAATGGTCAAGTCCAAAATCAACAAAAAAAATACATGTGAAAATACATGAAATCCTTCCACCAGGATTTAGGTGGAAAAAATAGGACGTTCAAAAACTTAACAACATTTACTCAAGATTGTATGGTATTGGCACTGAAAATGGTGTATATTATTCAGAACTCAGAAACTTCACCCCCTCCCCTCCCCATTTGTGAATAAAACATGGTTTTATTTTTTTTAAATATGGCTGTGTTGAGCAATTTCTTTTGCGAACAGCTCATTTAAATATTCAGGACCTGTTGATTTATACATGTAGTACTAAGTTACTGTTTTCATGAACGACCTTTTTTTTTTTTTAAAGAATAACAAAATATAAAGTGGTTGCTTGTTGGATATGTTTTATGCTGGAGACCCACTTGTGGATGTTAGAGTTGTCCAATTCTATATGTACATGGACATGTAGTTTGTATTTTACAATTGTATATTGCCTTAAACCTTATACGCACAGCGTGCAGGTCTGGTTTCGTAAAACATACGCAGCACATTATAAACACATGTACATGTATGTTTTGAAGCATGTTCATATTCTACATTTAATGTATGTACTTCAGGTCAAACCACCCCCCACCCAACACCCTCACCCCCACCCCCACCCCCGTACCATGCAATCCTTAAGGACACATCAAAAGTTC